CCAGGTGGCCAAGCCCCAACTCTGCTATGTGACTCCTGCCCAGGGACTGTGGGAGGCAAAGGTGAATGCCCAGCTCTTGGCTAAGTGCAGGAGACGCGTCCTGGGTGGGTTTGGTATCATGGCTCCTCTCCAGTGGCCCTGAAGCAGCCTGGTGAACAGACGGCCAGGGGACAGACACCCGGCCTAGCAGAGTTCACAAGAGATTCTCCTGCTCTTCCCCAGAGGAAGTAAGGGGTAGGGATGGCTATGGTCCTCCCGGAAGGGCCACCTCACTCTCCCTCTCTACTCTCTTCTGGATAGAGTGAGGGGAGGAAGGGGGGTGGCTGAAGAATTACCCTTCTTCCCTCCCCCATTGGTTGCGGCCGCTTCCTCTCTGCACTCCTGTACCACTCTCCCGAGCTGTACCCATGGTGGGGGGGGAGGGGCAAGATCAGCAGGTGGAGAGAAGGGGAGAGGCCAGCCCCTCACTGCACGGTCACCAAAGAAACATCATCCCGTGAGGCATTTTCTTGGCCTTCTGCTGGCAACTCCCATGAACCATGCGTGTCTCAAGTTCAACACTGTCTAATGTCTTCATGGTTTGCATGTTGAGGAACATGGATGAGCAGGCCATATGCAAACTCCTCTCCACGACCTCTCAGAACTCATTCCCTTGCTCATGTGTGGATGGGGCCGCATCCTCACACAAGCTAAGCCCATCTGTGCACAAGGTTCCTTGACACAGTTTCCCCTTCTTTCTCCAGGTCCTTGTAAAACTGGCTTCTACTTGTCATTCTCATCTCAGCTCACCTGTCCCTCCTCCATGAGCATCTCCTCTGAGCATCTTACCTGAGGCGGCCTCACCTGTGCCATCCCTGCCTGACGTCCCCTGGGGGGCGGGGGGGGGCACCTCTTCGTACCACTGAGCTTTCATTCATTCACAGTGTCACGATTACCTGCCTTCTCTGGCTAAGATGCAAGCTCCACAAAGCAGAGATCTCCAGAGTCCTACCCTCTGCGTCTCCACCGCCTTCAACATTGCCTGGCACACGGCCACTGCCGCTGGGTGTTTGCTCAATGAAGGAATGGTTTTGAACTCTGGAAAGACCAGAGCTCAAAGCCGGATGAGATCAATTCCATGGCAGGCAGGCACGGACCGGAGAAGGTCTGTGGGATGTGCGCGCCTGCGTGAGCGGACCGGGAGACAGCTGCCTCCCACCTTCTCTCGCTGAGCGCTCCATGCTGCCCTGGAGCCTGGGCTGTGACAGCTACAGCGGCTTACACGGGGAAACAGGGTGACCAATGTGCTCAGGCCCAGGCCCAGGGGCGTCCGACGCGTTGTGATGTAGAGGCTGACGGGAAATGGCAGTTACTGATTGATCTACTGTCAGGATACACTAAAATTCATGGATGGGGTGCGTGGGTGGCTCAGTCGGTTAAGCATCCGACTTCGGCTCAGGTCAGGATCTTTTGTAAGTTCAAGCCCCACATCAGACTCTGTGCTGATGGCTCACAGCCTGCTTTGGATTCCGTGTCTCCCTCTCCCTCTGCCCCTCCCCCACTCATGCTCTGTCCGTCTCTCTCAAAAATACGCATTTAAAAAAAGTTTTTAATTCATGTTCATTGAATTTTTTTTAAATTCATGATCATTGAATTTTTAATTCATGGTAAATCCTGGGATTAGTGTATATTCATGTAACTCTCCGTACTTCTCATGACCTGGCTGTGTGATGAGAGATGTGTATTTAGCTGGTAGCCACACACACAAGTCATTGCAAGACCTAACTCCTCAAAAACCACAAAGAGATCCTGTGCTGAGTGATGCTGGGGAAAGAGGCCGAGATGATTCCCTTGTCAACATGAACATAAACAAAATATTTTTCTATTAACTCTTCGTTGGGAGCAAACGTATCTTTTTAAATTTTTTTTTGTTTTTATTTTATTTTTGAGAGAGACAGAGATAGAGCGCAAGTGGGGAAGGGGCAGAGAGAGAGGGAGACACAAGACATGAAGCAGCTCCAGGCTCTGAGCTGTCAGCACGGAACCTGACACTGGGCTCGAACTCACTGACGGCGAGATCATGACCTGAGCCAAGTTCAGATATTCAACTGACTGAGCTTCCCAGGCACCCTGGAAGGAAACATATCTTAACCGTTTATGTTTATTTCTCAAGTTTTCCTACTAAGCAAGATTTTAGTAAATGAGATAAAAAATATAAATAAATAAATAAATAAATAAATAAATAATAAAAAATCCAGTTTTTTATTTCGATAAGACGGGACATTTCATAGCATTTTTCAGAGGACAAGGTTTACTGTTCTTCACCAGAACTAGGATTTGGCACCACGGCTCTGCATTTAGGACTGCCCAGGAATTAAAAACATCTCTGGGACTAACCTTTGCATTGAAATAGCACCACTGAGTCCCAGGTGAGGTCTGCAAGGGGCTCACTGCCTAAGCCCCGGGCCACACATCTCCCTCCCACACCTAAAAGCTGAGGGCCATCCTTCTGTTGATGCTTAAAATCCTTCTGAAGGTCAAATACGTGCAAGTCAATATATTTCCAGGACTCCACTCCTCACACTGTGATTTGGCTTCAGTGGCCCAGATGCTTCCCAGAAACTTGTCCAGGGGGCCCTCGGTCCTAAATTGACAGGAAAGCCAGGAAGGGAGACTTGGATTTTAAACGATGATATTCTGAAATCTCTGCGGTGGAGCGCGCCCTCTGCGAGCCCATCTGTTCAGTCTGCGCTCCCGCTTTTTTTTTTTCCTCCCAGACAAGGTGAACCTGCCAAATGCAAAGAATAGCTCTTCAAATATCTTCCGATAGACATCTGACCTCTTGGGCATCTGTTGCTATGGCTATTCCTGCAACCCTCTGCTTTCTGTCCCAGAAGGGGCGAGCAGGCCACAGGAGGACACGGTGAAGTTTGCTTTTTTTAACGAATGTGTGTTTGTTGGAGAATACCTGGCAGATAAAATAAGATGACTCATAATCACATCAACCAGAGGTCTTCACGTACTTGGATGTGCTGTTTTTGGCGCATGCGTTTTTAGGCTTATGTCACGTGGGAGACTTCACACCCTTCTCCATCCTCAGTGACTGGCCTGGTCCTGAAGGCAGCGTGATCGGAAATGAAAGTAACTATGCCAGCTTTCCAATGATTGGTGTTCACAGTGTATGGCTTTCCCTTCCATCCCTTTATTCTTCACTTGAGCTTTTTTATTTAAGGCAGGTTTCTTGCAGACAGCCTATAGTTGAGTGTGCTTTTACCATCCAGCCTGACAATCTGTCTTTTAATTGTTATATTTACACCATTCGTATTCAAAGTGATTATTGACACAGAACCATATCTGCCACGTGAGTAACTGTTGACCGTCTTGACCTTGGGCTTCTCTAAGCTCCTCCTCAGACAATGTATCCTACAGCTCTGTCCTGGCATCCACTGTTCTTGCCATGGGTGTGGGGGACTGTGGGGGTGGGAGGGCCATTCTGTGATTCTAGGATTAAATCTCAAAGTCTTGGTGGGCCTGTGACCGTCCCAAGGGTCACTCCCATTGGGGACCCCTACCCCTGCCCCCCACCCCCTTCCCTGGCTAGAGTATATCCTCAATCTATTTCCCTGAAACCCTGACCCCTCCTGCCTGTGTTTTCTTTTCCCCTCGGGATGTGAGACAATAAAGTTAAGAAGGCTCTTGTGAGAGGAATCCATTTCTCCCAAATGGAATGTTCCAGAAGCTCTGACAAGGTCTCTTCCCTGGAGAAGGGTCTGGGCAGGTTTCACAATGATTCCTCTTCTATTCTGCCTGCCAGAGCCAAGTGGGGTGAGGAGAAGGGTCTTTCTCAGATCTCCACCGTGAGAACCAGGTGAGGCTCCCACAGGTAAAAGCCACTGAAGTGAGTCGGCCTCTAAGATGGCAGCCTCCAGGGTGGGACACACTCAGCCTCCAGCAATTTGTCACAAGCCTCTTGTCAGCAGATGGCTCCAGCAGCTCCTGCTCTAGACAGGCTGATTTGGGGTTTGCCTCCCCCATTCTCCTTTTTCTCCAGATTTGCAGGTGGCTGTTTGCCCTGCACCCTCAGTTCTCAGGAAAGTCCAAGAAGGATCATTCTTTTTCCATGTGTCCAGCTTTCCCCTGCTTTAAGGACCAGAATGTTGACTTCTAAGCCAACATTGAAGAACTAACCCCTCCAAATCCCCAGATAACCAGGTTTACTTTTTGTCAAATCTCCTTCCCATTTTTATGACATCTTTATCTCTGGACTTAGAGACATTAGGAAGAGCAATTTGACTGATGATGGGAGCCAGGTGTCACCCCGAGGGCTTTGTATCTAAGTTCTCTTTTACATTTCTCTGTAGTCCCATACTTCTCTCCTTTTACAACTGAAGAAACACACCTTTTAACTCGCAGGACTTGCCCAAGGTCATGGGGTGAGTAAGGCGCAGAATTTAGAACAGAATCAGCTGCTGATAAGACCGACTGACTTCAGATGCCACATTCTTTCATGGACAGTCATGAATGGGCAGATGGATGGACAGATGGATGCAGAATTGGATACATGGATGGATAAATATATCTCAACAGAAGAGAGCTTATATTTAGTTCTATGGGTAGGTTTATGAGTTAATATTATATTTTGAACTTTTTCACAAATCACAACAAATCCTTGATCAAAAGTAATTCTTAAGGTGTTAAAATTATAATTCCAATCAAAATAGAGAGCAATCACACGGGAGAGTTGTTTTTAACTTGTAGAGGAAAAATGAAAATTATAGACCTGCTTCATGCTTCAGAGGGTCTGTGTGGACATGACACACAAAGTCAGTGAAAACAGGAATTCAGAGTCATGTTGGTGACTTGGGTACAAGACTGATTAATATTCCTGCAGGGCAACTAAACCGTAACTTTCAGGGCAATCTTGTCTAATGGGTCAGTTTTCATCAGGAACCCCCCCCCACCTCCCCCCCCCCCCCCCCCCCCCCCCCCCCCCCCCCCCCCCCCCCCCCCCCCCCCCCCGTCCTGAACCAACTGTTACTCAAACCAGTATATTCTCCAAGTCAGCTGAGCTTCTGGCATGCTCATTCGAATATCATTTAGCCTAAAACTAAAAGGTAATCGGATCACCTCTTTGACTTATTTCTGAGTGTTCAAAACTTTTCCTGACTATGATTTTTAATGGTTTTCTTAATGGTGCATAATAGGGGAGTTACCACAATAGAACAATCTAGAAGACTGCCTGCATCTTGCACAGTCTGGGGGTGGGTGAATCTCAGACCCGCTGGAACCAGGCATATTTTGTCCCCTGCTGTGGGTAGAAGAGGCCGTGTTCATACGCCAAGGGGCTCTGGCTAGGGGACTGACTTGGTGGTGGTGGTGAGGGGTTCTCTTTGCTTTCTATTGGAATTCAGCAGGTAGGGTCTAAACATGCAACCGCCCCTCCATCACACGGGCTGCAGGCTTCCAGAAGCCTCGCGCCTCCAGCTGGAGCAGGAGGGCACAGGGCATCCTGGATGTCCTACTTTCTGCTGCTAGGGGGTTCCTGTGGGAGGAACCCTGCTTTGTCTTCTGAGCCTTTTCTAGCCCCGGGTAAACAGCACCTTTCCCCACGCCCATCCCTTGGCTCTGAAGACCCGCAGCGGGGAGTTTTCAGCCTTGCCCCGCCCCCCAGAGATGCATGCGCTAATCCGATTGGTTCATTTTACTCGGGGGTGTGTCCAATGAGAGACCAGCTCCTCTTTCCAGGTTCTTCTGCGGGCCAGGCCTGGGGGCTCCTGTATTGCACTTTTCACCGGTGAGCAGGTAGCAAGGGCTGCCCCAGGGAGATCCCAACCTCTGTTCCCTGGGCCTAGGCTCTTCCTGCATCCTAGGTGGGCCAGGGAGGCCTGGCTCAGGGACTCTGCTGCCCACAGTGCAAGGGAGAGGAGTCAGACCCTCCATCCTGGACCCGGACAAAGGGAACCTGGCTTATAAGAGGGCTTGCTGGCATTTGCCCCATTTCAGGCTCTTCTCAGCAGCTGTAAAGCTATGCTTGGATCCCAGCTGGTTCCCGGTGTCCATTCTCAGTTGGATGAAATTTGGAGAAGCAGGGTGGTGAAGACGGAGCATCCAAAACATCTTGAAAGTTTCCATTATTTTTCCAAAGTCAGGACCCCAAACAGCAAGTCCGTCTGAAGGGAAGTAAACTGGTGATTTTTGAGCCGTTTGCATAACACATCTTCCCACAGCTTAAGGTTGGAGCCCAATCACAACAGATTCTCAGGAAGGAGAATTGTTTGTGCCACCTGCCTGTTAATGAGACTGGTGATTTCTTACTCTTGGAGGGAAGATGAGATTTATATAGCATAAACGTCTGAACATGCATGAAGTAAACTCAAACTTTTGAGCTGCAGAATCGAGTAGAATCAGAAAAGGCAGTGGGCCTTGTCTCCCAGGGCAGAGACTGAGTTCACTAACATTCTTGCTTACACTTTTATTGCAACCAGGGAATTCAAGAGAGCGAACATTATGTCTCTAGGATATGACATTGTAGTAGCTTTCTTTCATAAAAGTCTCTATAAAATGACCTTTGTCTCCACTTTCTTAAAAGAATCTGCCTCTATGGGGCCACTGGGTGGTTCAGTCGGTCATTATCTCACAGTTAGTGGGATTGAGCCCCGCGTCAGACTCTGTGCTGACAGCTCGGAGTCTGTGTCTCCCTCTCTCTCTGCCTCTCCTCTGTTTATGCTTTGTCTCTCTCTCTCTGTCTCTCAAAGATAAATAAATGTTAAAACAAATTAAAAAAAAAAAAAAGGAATCTGCCTCTAAAATGGACAGAGCCTTCAAAAGAAGCAGGGTGAAGGAGGGCACCTGGGTGGCTCAATGGGTTAAATGTCCAACTTAGGCTCAGGTCGTGATCTCACAGTTTATAAGTTTGGGCCTTGCGTTGGGCTCTGTGTTGACAGCTCAGAGCCTGGAGCCTGGTACAGAGTCTGCATCTGCTTCTCTCGAGTCTGCATCTGCTTCTCTCTCTGCCTCTACCCTGCTGTCTCTCTCTCTCAAAAATAAACATTAAGTAAATAAATAATAAAATGGACAGTGCCTTGGACTCATCGGGAGTGAGGAAGTCAAGGAGATAATCTCACTGGAATTGGGATGTAACTCAAGATGGACTTTCCTCCAAGATACACGCAGATCCAGCCAGCTTTTCTCCCTCGGGGTGGAGTTGGAGCTTGCCTGACCGAAGGTGGGTCTAGAAGGAGCCACAGCTTCTAGGGTCTTCTGCAAACCAGAGGTGAACTGCTTTCAGAGAATCAATGCTTTGACAGGGTGCTTAAGCCTTTGCCTCAGAGGACAGGTCTCCTCTGGATAGTTGTGCAGAGTAGCTTTGAACTGGATTTCTTCACACCCAGGAATTGCTGGGAGAACAGGCAGCCTTCTCTGGGCTGTTTCTAGCAAGCTCACCACGAGTATTAAACCACTCCTCTTAACTTCCTCGGGAAACATAAAATCTCAGAAGCAGCAGGAATGAAAGCAAATTCTTTCTAGGAAATCCCCCAACCGGTCAGTTCCTCCTCTCCCAGCCTGCTTCTTCTCAGAGTGGGCTCAGCTTCAGGTGCGCTCCCCCAGGGCAGGGCAGCAGGGGTGGGCGTGGGCAGCTCTGGGCTCTCAATCTCTCTCTTACTTGCACATCAGGATGTAGAAAAAGACTTTGATTGGCCGCCTGTGGTTACATGTCCTTTCGCGACCTGTCACCTGGGGTCAGGAAAACGGGCTACTCAGACTGGTAAGGGCTTAGTCATGTCATGTCTGTGATGGATACGAATAGGATCAGCCTCGTGATCCATATGGCTTGCGATCCCCCACAACGGGGGGGTTCTTTCACCAATAAAATGGGGAGGGGAGCTGGACCCCCCCGCTCTGAAAAAAGACCTCTCCAAATGTTAATGCCAGTAAGTACAAGCAGATGGGACCTACTAGTTTCTCCTGAGCACAGGCCTTACATAATCCCTCATTCCCACAAATATGAACTCAATCCACTGAGCACAAACGGGCACATAAATGTAAGCCAGCTCAAGACTGGCTTCAAATCCTTTGACATTTTTGTGGTTGTGATATTATATAGATACTTCAGACCTCCTCAGAATCCAAAGTATGTAAGAAGATATAGGGATGGATAGTTTAACTTAAGCAAATCAAGTCAAAAGCCCCCGAGGGCGCAGGCACACGGCTGCTTGGTGGCAGTGTGGACATTGATTGAAAGGCTGCCGGCATCCATTCTCGGACCATGTCCTGGCGCTCTTTTAAGACAAGAGCCTCCCAGCTTGCTCCCCTGATGAGATGGATGGCAGTGACAAATTGAGTCTGTACCCACCATAGAGACAGCTTGGGATTCATTAGCAGAATTGGGAGTTGAATAGAAATGCTAATTTCAGGACAACCGAGCAGTTCCTTCTGGCTGGCATTTTTCGTATTCCTCTGGAGGCTGTTGAGAAATGAGGAGGCTGGATGCTGAACTGTAAAGGAAAAGAAGTTTGATGTGACCCGGAGAAGGACATCAGCCTCTCCTTCCCAGCATCTTTTCCTCCCTGGGGCTAAACACTCCCTTTAACTGGAAGTTCCATTCTTAGGGTCACATTGAATTTTAAAGCTATGATATTGTGATTTATAATAAGATATAAGTATTTATTCTGTGTCCCTGTCCCCGGCACAGAGCTCTTAAAATCCTTAGAAATTTCCTAAGGGAGGAGAAGGATCAAAGTGTCTCTTGTTATGTTAATAACGTGGCTTTGCGGAGGCCCCTTGGGCTGGGGAACTGGCTGCCAGCAGAACTGATCTCTGGGGAGAGGAGAGGGGTAGAGATTGAGTTCAATCACCAATGGGCAATGAGTCAGTCAATCACACCTGTGTAATGAGCCTCCATAGAAACCCCAAGGATGAGGTCCCGAGAGCTTCCAGGTGGGTGAACGTGTGGAGGTGTGGGGAGGGGCTGCACCGGGAAGGGGCATGGGAGCTCTGAGCCCTTCCCCACACCTCCCCAGGGCGTCTTCTCCTTTGACAATAAACCAGTAATCTGGTGAGTAAAATGTTTCTTTCTTTTTTTTATAATAGTTTATTGTCAAGTTGGTTTCCATATAACACCCAGTGCTCATCCCCACAAGTGCCCTCCTCCGTGCCCATCCCCCCTTCCCCTCCCCCCCACCAGTCCTCAGTTTGTTCTCAGCTTTCAAGGGGGGAAATAGTCGGGGAGACGAGGGAGGCAAGCCATGAGAGACTCTTGAATGTGGAGTAAAATGTTTCTGAACTGCTCCAGCGAATTGGTCACACCCAAGGAGGGGGTCCTGGAAACTCCAATCCCTAGCCCGTCAGTCAGGGGCTCAGGTGACCATTGGGCTTAGGATCCACAGATTGGCTTGCGGGTCTGAGCCCTCATTCTGCGGGACCGATGCTCTCTGTGGGTAGCATCGGCACTGAGGTGAGGTGAGGACACCCGGCTGGTGCTGGGGCCTGGCTTAGTGATGCTATGGAAGAACCAGATACACCTTGGCACTGCGGATCCGAACCCTTTAGAACTTAATTCTTGCCACACATGCACTTCCAGAAAGCTGGAGTAGGCGTATCATGCCTCCCGATACAAACCTGGACACCATGTAGAAAAGAAACATACAAAGACTCTGAAAGGTAGAAAAAGGAGTCCAGAGCCCATTTCCTGGGCTCCCTTTTTGCCTCCTATATCCCAGATTTGGGCTGAAAAGCCAGTAACTTGGAAAAGGGCAGACAAACAGAAACCCCAACGAAAGCCTGTTTTCTCTGGCAAAGGACCAAGAGAGGGCAGCCTATTAAGATAAAAGAGTGGTCAATCAAGGCTCTACTCCAGCCAACACTGAAGAAAATAACTACAGCTCCTCAGTGCTCACCCTACTAGCAAGGGCAGAGTGCAAGGGACCCAGTCTCCACCCTGGCCAGGCTGTGAGACGCTCCAACACCTTGTCAGGAAGGTTTCAGAGAAGGTGGAGTATGAAGCCAGGGCAGAAAGGATGTGCTCTTACTTTATTTATTTGTTTACTTATTATTTACTTAGAGCATGCTTGAGAGTGTGAGCAGGAGAGGAGCAGAAGGAGAGGGAGAGAGAATCTTAAGCAGCTCTGCCTCCCACATGGGGCCTGATGTGGGGCTCCATCCCCTGAACCATGAGATCATGACCTGAGCCAAAATCGAGAGTCAGACACTTGACCGACTGAGCCACCCCAGCGCCTCTGATGTGATCTTACATTTAAAACAACTTCTTAGAATGATGCAATTCTTACTATTTTAAATTTTTTAATGTTTTTTATTTATTTCTGAGACAGAGAGAGACAGCATGAGCAGGGGAGGGTCAGAGAGAGAGAGGGAGACACAGAATCTGAAGCAGGCTCCAGGCTCTGAGCTGTCAGCACAGAGCCCATCGCGGGGCTCGAACCCACAAACCACGAGATCATGACCTGAGCCAGGGTCGGACGCTTAACTGACTGAGCCCCACAGGTGCCCCTCTTATGACTATTTTAAAAGCTCACCGGCTAGTTTCGGGCATCCCACGCAGCACTGTCAGTCGTGGGTCCCAGCATTCAAGCTCATGCGGACCCCGCCTTCCTCGTATGAATCCTCCTGCCCTTGAACTTCGGAGGACTTCTGCTTGAAAGCCTCCGGTGACCACAGAAGGCCAGAGGAAGCCCGGAGGGGAGGGGGACAATTGGCAGCAGGACCTGAGGGCTGCCTTTCACCTCTAGGAAAGGGGCCATCGGACGTTTTCTTCTCGCTTGTCCCACACAATTCTCTGGTTGCGGGAAAGGAGACAGGATTCAGGCTAGAATGCTCTCTCCGGGAACAAAGGAGGTGCATTGTCAGTGACTCACTCGCCACGGGAGATGGAGTGTCCGAGAGAGAGGAACTCTCACACTTATGTCACTTATGGTCTGTTGTGTTGACGCTCTTGTTCTATGACCCGCATGCGGCGTGGCTGGTGAAGAGATGGGCGTGAGAAGGAGAGCGTCGCGTTGTGAAGAGAACGCTGAATTCAGAGCTAAGAGACTGAGTGGCTGCTCCCATCACTGAGCAACTCGCCTCCTTGGGCAGGTCACTTCGCTTCGGAGCTTACTCTTAAAAAGCTGGTTAAATTAAAAATCTCAGAGGACGATTGTGAGACACAAATGAAGGAGAAACATGAGGAATGCCTTCCCCAAATGCCACGTTCATTCATGCTTAGACTCTTACAGTACACTTGATGAATTAATGGATTTACATGTGACAGCCATTGACTTGCAGATGACCCCATTCCCTCCTGTGCACATAATTGTTTTTCTCCAAGATTGCTCTGGCGGTCCCTGCTCTGAGCCCTCCACACCAGCAAGAGAAGCTTAATGGAGTCTGGCCTATTACATATTCCATGCTTAATGCTGACCCTCAAGTGAGGAGTAAAGAAAGGTCTTCATTCTTCAGCGGCGTCCCAAAGCCAGGAACATCAGTCTTTGGGACCATGCTCCATCAAGGGTGCTGTCTCCTCTCTGCCTTATCACACCTGTCTCCAGTACCAATACACACGTCCCGGCCTCTTCCATGGCCCAGGACCAGCTGCTGCCAGATGCTGTAAGGCCCTTTCTCACTTCGCCCGCTCAGTGTCTGTAAAAATAGTCCAGTTTACTTATGACACATTTTTCAGCACTTGCTTCTGCCCCTTCGCTAAAGAAGGCTCTTCAAGACTCCCTAGAGATGTCTTCATAGCCAACCTAAGGATCTTTTCTTAACTTAGACTTGCTTGACCCCCCTTCCAGCCTCAAAGAGACTAAGTAGCCTTGCCTTCTGGAAGCCCTCTCTCCGCTCAGGATGCATGGTTTCATGCACCTAGGTACCCCCCCGCCCCCCGGGCCACGTCTGTCACCTCTGGGGAATTCCATTGCCTATCGAGTGTACATGATCTCCAAGGATCGCCCGTGTCCTCGGCGTGCTTAGGCTTTTTCTACACTTTCTTTCTCGGGCAGTCAAATCTTCCTATTGTTTCAATTGCCAGATTCATGTAAAATACGTTGCAGAGAGCTGCAAAGATAAAAGAAATGCAACTTAGTTCACCAGGAAAGGCAGGAGATGAGGGGGCTATAAGGAAAGCATTAGAAAGAACTCAGTACCCAAAGAAATTTAGTGTAATTATGTTTGACACCCTTTTTTAAACATTCTTAAACTGATTGAAAACCAAAATATATAAGAGGCTATATTAGTCAGTTCAGGCTGCCATGACCAAATAACACAGACTGGGTGGCTTAAACGACAGAAATGTATTTCCCACATTTCTAGAGGCTGGAAGTCTCAGATCAGAGTGCCAGAAGATTTGATTTCTGGCAAAGCCCCTCTTCCTGGCTCGTGGACAGCTGCCTGCTTGCTGTGAGCTCATATGGCCTCTTCTCTATGAGTTCCAGGTGGGGACAGGGGGAGAGAGGGAGATCTGGTATCTCTGCCTCTTCTTAAAAAGACACCAGTCCTGGGGCACCTGGGTGGCTCAGTCGGTTAGGCGGCTGCCTTCGGCTCGGGTCATGATCTCATGGTTTATGGGTTCGAGCCCCGCATCAGGCTCTGTGCTGACAGCTAGCTCAGAGCCTGGAGCCTGCTTCTGATTCTGCGTCTCTCTATCTCTCTATCTCTCTCTCTCTCTCTCTCTCTCTGGCCCTCTCCTGCTCACGCTGCCTTTCTCTCTCTCAGAAATAAGTAAAACATTAAAAAAAAAAAAAAAAAAGACACCAATCCTATTTGTGTCCTTATGAACTTACTTAACCTTACGTGTCTCCCTAAAGACGCTTTATCTAAATACAGTCACAGTGGGGATTAAGGACTTCAAAATATGAATTTGTGGGAGACACAGTTCAGTCCCTAACAGAAGCCCACTATGCGTCCAGAGGCTGGAGCTGGTGTGTGGAATAAAGAGTATGTAGACCATGACCTGGCGGATGAGGGGACATCAGCCAGCACACCCCGCGGTGGGCAGGCGGCTCCCTCAGCACACGACACCCCTCTTTGGAGAAGTGAGACCCACCAGGTCTCACTTGGAATTTGGATTGGAAGCGAAATTCCAGTACATCCACACAAAGGATATGGAGTCACGAGATTTATTACTTCCAGGTCCCAGAACTGGGGCAGGGGGCAGTGAGCTGAGGAAGGACAGTCTTTGTCCCAGGTCACCAACGGGCAGAGGATAGAGAGGTGGTTAGCACCTGTTACTTACAAAGTGCTTGGAGCACAGGTCACTAACTTATCTTACACTTAACTCTAAGTGGTTATTTTATTTTATTTTTTATTTATTTTTAATTTTTAAATGTTTATTTCTGAGAGGGAAAGACAGAGTTGTGGGGGGGAGGGGCAGAGAGAGAGGGAGACACAGAACTAGAAACAGGCTCCAGGCTCCAAGCTGTCAGCACACAGCCCCTGATTCGGGGCTCAAACTCATGAACCGCAAGATCATGACCTGAGCCAAAGCCAGATGCGTAACTGACTGAGCCACCCAGGTGCCCCTCTAAGCGGTTATTTTAAAAGGTGCCCCTAGAAAAGTGCAGCGGGAATTGATAGCAGGAAACCTAATTCAAGCTCCTGCCTAAATGTCCAGACCATGGATGTGAGCAGGGCTGTCAAACTGTGAGATGCTTACCCAGCTTCTCAGAAAAACAAATGCCGTTTTCTTCAAAAGCTGCTTTCCGCATCACACACGGAAAACAAAAGTGGTATATCGAAAATGCCTAATATAAAAAGGAGCCACTAAAAATAATGCAAAAAGTTATAAGTAAAAGAATGAACAAAGGTATAGCAACTGAATACAAGCAAAGAGAAAGAGGAAAACATTACATGAAAGTAAAATCCAAGGAAACATTCATGGGACAAAGGACCATTTTTAATTACTAACAGAGTTCACAGTAATATACAACAGTTCTGAATCCTTTTCCTCTGAAAATATTATATCAAAATTAAAAGGTCAAATTGTTAGAAAATCCAGAAGCCTCAGCTAGAAATGAATCGGCTATGGGAGACGATGGGCCATGGGGTAGAATTTCAGTAGTGACAGTGTTCTGTGCACATACCGTGAAGCTAACATGCCCAAAAAGGAGTAAGATGATATTAAATTTTCATTATGGGAAGGATTGATCAAGATCTAGCAGACATTAAAGGGATTTTTCTGCAGGTCGACCATGAATAATTCAGTCAGGTCTTCTTTGTCTCCCCAACCCAGTCTCCGTGGGTGAACAGTATGGACTGGAACAGAAATGGGTGAGTGACACAGAATGGGTTCCTCTTTTGCAACTGAGGAACAATGCGATGTGATGGCCACTTAGCTTCCCAAAATATTGGGCTGTTGATTTTTATTTTTGGAAATTCCAAAGCTAGGTGCTTGTGAAGTATAAGTAACTTAGGTAGATTATAATACTGATGCAGAACATCACGAGACTTTGAAAAACTCCCTAGGAGAACATTTTAATTCAACAATAATTGTATTTTTAAAATTTTATTTTAGAGAAAAAGGGAGGGAGCAGAGGGAAAGAGAGAGGGACGGGGGGAGAGAGAGAGAGAGAGAGAGAGAGAGAGAGAGAGAGAGAGATCTTAAGCAGTCTCAAGTTCAACGCCAAGTCCAACATGGGGCTCGATCTCATGACCCTGGGATTATGACCTGGGCAAAGGTCAAGAGTTGGATGCTCAACAGACTGAGTCACCCAGGCACCCCAACAAGAAGTGTATTTTTGAGGGGAAATAGGGCAGGATTCTCCATTTCAGATTCATCTGTGAGAGAGGTAATCTCATGGGCATCAGTTTTTACCGTCACCAGGCAGAACCATGATAGAAAAAAGAACCTCACGCCCCTCCTCCCTCAGTGGAAGAAGGTTTGTGAGTCATCAGATGCGGCCTCTAGGGGAAATATTTGTACAGAGACGTCATTAATGTGAGAGAGGTAAATACTCCTTGATGTTCAAGACGAGGCAAACAGGTTTCCTCTGTTTTGCTTCACCTTATTTGCATGTTCCTATCCTCAGGGGTGAAATGCTTTACTTAGTTCAGTTTCTATGTACATTGGAATTGGATGTGTTTGTCAGTGAAGGCAGCTGGGGTACAGGGTTCAATTTCTAACACCTTCCCATCTACCCTGGACAAGCTCAGGACCTATCCCCCAGGGACACTAGCCAGCTGGATACAAAAGGACATTCTGTTAGGAGCCAGGCCAGTACGTGATGCAGGCTTCTCTGGTTAGACTGGAATGCAGAATTCAGCCTGGGACAGAGGGCCTCAGCAGAGTTCTTCACTCCCCCAGACTCTAAATTTTGGGACAAGTACTCTGTCCCTATAAAGAAGGGATAGAAATAAATGCAAAATTTGCCTTTATAAAGAGCTCCCCAAAAGGGGTGCCTGGATGGCTCAGTTGGTTAAGCGTCTGACTTCGGCTCAGGTCATGGTCTTGCTGTTCCAAGTTCTAGTTCAAGTCCCGCATCTGGCTCTGTGCTAACAGCTCAGAGCCTGGAGCCTGCTTCAGTTTCAGTATCTCCCTCTCTCTCTCTCTTGCCTCTTCCCCACTCATGCTCTGTCTCTCACTCTCAGAAATAAAAAAAACATTAAAAATATTTAAGAAAAGAGCTCCCCAATGCAGTTACTCTCAAAATGATGATTTTTTTTTTTTTTTAATCTGAAGCAAGCACACGGGGTGTAGTGATACATGCCATCCCAACTCACAGAGGCGGGTGTACAAAAGCAGAGTGATTCTTTCTGAATTTATAACGAGGAAGTTGCCTGGAACAAGATGGGATTTTCACAAGCCCCCATCTCTTCTCACCTCAACTAATCCCACTCATTGTCTCATTAAACGCTGCTACCAACGGCAGGGGAATCGGGACAGAAGCACAGAAATCGGAGGTAGTTGGGTACTTGGTGAGAGATGATATCCAGTCTCCATGGATACGGACCTGGGGATGAAGAGTCTGGGTCAAAGTCTCAAGCAGCAGCAGAGTATGAGAGACACACACAGAGATTGGCTCAAGAAGACCTAGGAAATTCTAAGAAAGTAGACACATCTGCAGAATGTTCAACCGAGGGCAGTTCTATACACTGGAATGCTTTACGACTGGTGGGAAAAGCATAAGCTATGAATTATGTGCACACGAGTTGTAGGCTATGACTCTGCTTAAAGCTTTAAAGGTACAAAGTTGGAGGGCCTTACAGTAATGGAAGGAAGCCGTGGCGCCCACCAATTAACCA